CCTCCCTAACCCAGAAAGGGTTTTTGTGAAAATCGAACCCAACTTGCAAAAAATTTGCGAATAGAAGTGGAATTATCTTTCGCAGATCGAAATGGCAGTGAATGCTTTTTGTTTGGGTTTATAACAGTGTTAGTAGAACTTCAGGCTAACATAAAATCGCGAGTCATGAAAATTGGATTCCAAGGTATTCTCTCGTGTCAGCGGTTCCGTGGCAGACATTTGATATCGTATTCCTTAAATAACCCAGCAGTTCGACGGGACAGTCCCGAACTGACCAATTAACCTACCACTTGTGGTGGCCCCTAGCCACCTGACTACCCAGGTGACCGACCATTTTAACATGGGCTTGTCCTACGAGGAAGTCAATCGTCACTCTACACCCTACAAAGAGACAGTAAAGAGACGATTGCCTAAGCTCTCGCTTACAAAGGGGACACTAAAGTGACGACTGTCTTCATTCTCGATTACAATTCTCGATTACAATTCGTGACGAATGACCCAAAACATACGAATTACGATCATCCAGGTGGTTAACTATTAGTGGAAATTACTGTCTTTTTCGTATGCTGGGAATGGCATCGATTGTTCATTCATTTACCTCGAAAACAAAATGCAGTGTTTACAATTTTCCAAGAGTTTTCTTATGTTTTTTGGTTCAATCACTCGAATGGATCGGATGATATTAGTGACTCGAGATATAAAGATGTCGAATCGATGTTCTTGGATTAATTTACATAACTTCTGACATACCAGCCGCATTCTCGTGGATACGTACCATACGGGGATCTGAGTTTTGTCCACTAGCAACGCTAGGTGGCGTGTCATAATGTCCATGGACGTTATGACACACCAAAAAGTGTCAATTCTTAAAAGTGTCATAATGACACAGCAGCCGAAGGAGTTTTAAACTATGGGGTATTTCGAATACCGGCTTCGCTAAATTAAGCTTTTTTAGATAAATGGACTTTTTGGAATCTTTTGACTTTGACATTATGACACGCCACTGTAACGCTTGTATCATGTACTTTCTTAACAAACTTGTGTTAAGAAAGTGCATGATACTTTCTTAACAAAGAAGTGTTAAGCGACCCATTTTGGTACTTGGATGTATGTACTGACTAATAGCCCATACTCGTGTAGAAAAAATCGATCAGTGTTTGAAAAACACTTGATATCACCCCCACTATTTGTAGAAACGAGAAACACTTTAACCCCTAGGAACTGCATGAGTAAACAAAGCATATCCCGACAACAGAACGCAACTCCAGTTTCGGCACCTAACCTAACCTTTCAATGGTTTACGACTGTGTTTATTGTGAATTACGATCGTAGCTATGTACGGTTTTGTAAGTGGTTATTTTAGTGACCAAGCGCGAATAGAAATGCAGAATATCAAAGTTGCCAAACAGATAAAATTACATATTCCCACATTTTGTATAAATATGTATGGAATTCCTATTTTAACACGATATAATATGCATTGGAACAGATGATTTAAGGTATTCGAACCTTATTTCGTTAGAATTTAGGACATTGAGAGTTGCCGGACAATAAACCCTAATCTATAAATAAAAAATCTAGTTTTAAAGGTTGTATACGAAAATAGGCATTATTTACATAATAAGTTTATACATCCGACTAAAGGTCATCTCAAAACTAATACCCCGACTTTAATGTAAAATTAATCTGGCAGCACTTCCTTTACTATTAATGTTTTCGTACGTTTATTCTCTTAGTTCCATCCATCGTTCGTTTATTCATTCGCTCACTACTTATTCGTTTCGCTCGTTGGATTTGCGAAAAAAACAACAAAACAAATGTCGAATATTATTATTTTTGTCGATTTTTTTGTTTTTGTTTTTCTTATTTTTATTATTATTTTTTTGTATTGCTGTTTGCGTGCGTGCGTAATCAATGACGCATTTTTTAGATATGAAATAAGTATAATATGTATAACTTGTAAAAATAACAACAAAAACAAATATACATATTCGAAAAAGAGGGCTAAACGACGAAAAATTAGATCCTATTTGAGTCACGATGTACAAACATTCAAATTTACACACATTGTATGTCTGTATGGATGAATGTTTTATTTTTTATTATTATTATATTTTCAGTAATAACTATTATGATGAACTTGTTGTTTTAGTTGTCATAAGAACTGCTTACTTACTTAATCCGATTTATTTTGTTGTTTTTTAATTAGGACACGCCTACAAATCATATAAATTCATAATAATTCATTTTTATTGCACTGTATAACGCCCACATTAAAAGAAATATTAAAATATTACAAACAATTTTATTGGTTCATGTTTATGACCACCACATTGTAGTAGTGATGGCAAATTTAAAGTTTCCTATTGTATATTTGTTTATCGATATTAAAAATCTTACATCATCGAAACAAATTATCGATAGAAGTAATTTACATTAACAACAAGTGTTTCAAATTATTTAACATTGGTATTTTTAACCGGTTTCCGGTTTTTATTTACGATTTTTTTTTCTTTTTATATTTTCTTTAACTTCACTCTCAAAATGACAAACAACAATTAAAAACGTTTAATCAAAACAAAAAACAGTCATCATCACATCACAGTCAACTCGTACGCGGATATTATTAAAATTATTTCATTTTATTATTTGTTTTTGTGTATCCGTTTTTATGGAATTGGTATAGAGGTACAGAGTCATTAAAATAAAAACAGATTTTTTGAGTTATTTAAAAAATCTAGAAATTTAATTCAAAATTCTCAAATACCTCTCCGGTATTGAAAGAAGTTTAATGTATCCACGGGTTTATGAAACTCAATAAGCAATTAAAAATCTTTTGTTGTATTATTCAAAACCCTCCCGACCATTATGTGTCCCAGATAACTTTACACAAGCAAAATTACATTCCTAAAGTCCAAGAAAGATATTATTCTTAATTGATAAATTATAATCTATCTCTGGCGTAGGAATCGAGGAACATAAGGAGAGTAAGAGAACAGACATATTTTAGAAACTTTGTAAAAAATCGTGGATTAAAGGTCTATAAACTGATTGTGTGTTGAGTCATTTTTCACGACTCGAGCACACTAATTGTCCGGTAATCGGAATTTCGAGTTCTTCCAATATTGTTTGCTCTTAAGAAAAAGTCTAAGAAGGTTAAACTATAAGTCCTTCTGAACTTTACAAATGTTCTTGAAGCATTTATTATTCCATGATTAAATAACATAGACCGGCGATTCAAAATGTGAAAGAATTGACTTCTATAACAAACCATACTTGAACTCATGGTGGAAATCAGGAGTTTCATTTGATATGTCACTATTTTATTACTCACGTCTCAATGTCATCCAAAGATCATTTATTATGCATTAAGGAATAAAATTCGTATTTATACAACGTATGGGTTGGTACTGGATGAAATTTCAACGTTGGAATTAAGAGCATTGCATTGGATGCAAGACAGTCCACTTAAACATAATAATGGTCGACTATTACAGACATGTATAAGTTCTATAATCCATTTGCAGCTCCAGACAATGGTTGTTGGTTGGTGAACGTGACGTAAAGTGTGAAGTAGTCATAAGAACCACACTCGTCAGATGTATGGTAGTGTATATAAATTTGGCATTAGATCCAGCATGTAGCAGTGATAGGTGACCAAGGTTGGATGGAATCTATTTGCCCAGTAATCTTGGCAGCTAGAGCAGGACATTCGCAGAAAAGTTGGAAAATCGTCTCCTCTTTATATCTGTCATTGCAACTTCTATAAAATTCGTTGCAGCGAAGCCCAAGACGATATACTGTCTACCTAGCACTGAGTGTCCATTTATTACTACCAGTAAGCTCGATATATCTTGCATATTTCGGGTTATAAGTTTGTCTAGTGTGTTTTTCATAGAATGAAACCCACCTTAACTTGTGCCCTCTACATGTGTCTAGAAAGAATCTAAAGGCAGTACTTTACTTAAATCCCAACGGAATTGAAACAATGTTCTGAACACAGCTTCTTCGCATAAGACATCAGAATTAATACCGCATTTTATTTTAGAGTAGTCTTTATAAATCCTGGGGATTTACTCCGTATTTCGATTCGAAGGAAAAAGCTTTCAAAATACCTTGTATTTAATATATATTACCCATTCAGTATATTACCCATACACAACTTATTCCTGTAATGAAATCTGTTTCATCAGAGTCTCTGGTGGGAATCGGTCCCACGATTTCCGTACCGAAAAACAACAAAACTATAAACTTTAGGTTGGTTAGTTGGAGGCACCTCCGTTTGGGTAATATAGTCAAAACTGAGGACTGTAGTTTAATATACTCGTGTAGGCATATGCTATTGATCTTTAACATCTAGACTTCGCGCCTTCCACCAGATATGAGAACAAGAATAGAGTTCATAGCAATGTTTCATAAATCAAAATACATACATATTGAAAAGTGTGGGGTATTTCCCCGACTTTTGTTTTTTTTTTTTCACAAAAACCAACAAAAAAATAAATTCATTGACAGCTTCCAATGAGAGTGAAATATAAAACTAAAACATAAAAATAATTTTAAAACCCTAAAGGAGCACTAAAAGCAATAAACGAATACTATGGGCAGGCGTAAATTAATGACTTTATGAACCATTTATCTGGACATTAACACTAATTTCTTAATACGTCAAGATTTATGGGTCAACATAAAGGAAGTAAAAAAGGGGCCATTGTAAAACTACGTTATAAAATTCTTTTTTTCCTACTTCCAACTTAAAACGTAATAAACTAAGGTTGGGTTGGCTGCCCATCCATCCGTCTCTCTGTCTGTCTGTTATTGTATTCGTATTAAGACATTTAAGAGTTACTTATACAGGAGAAGAAAAACCAAAAAAAGAGTAGTAAAACATAAAATTGACTGATTGACAGACTAACTGTCGAACTGAGTAGTGAATGGCAAAGCAAACAGATATCGCATAAATATAAATTTTGTTTGGGTAGTTAAATTTACTTACGTACCTTTGTTTTTCTTGAATGATGACGAAATATTTGGTTTCTGTTTGGTCCTTAACTCAACTTTTAAGAATGTGATGATGTCTGTATATCTTTTGTTGTTCACTTTTGCTGTGTGGTGTTGTTGTATCTGTTGGTTCTTTGTTGTTGTATTGTGGTTTTTGATTTTATGATGTTGTTAACTTCACACTTCTCACATTTATTACACTTTAAAATAATTGAACTTCATTAAAATATTTTCTTTACTTTTTTTTGTTTTGGTTTGTTTTTTTTTGCCACAGACACAAACATCACATCACACACGCTCCTCTTTTTTTCACATATAAATTATGTGATTCAATTTGTGTATTTCTTTACAGTTTAATGTTGTTTATTTGTGTTATTTATTATTTTATTATTTTTTTTATTCTATATCCATTCATTTATTATTGATTTCATGAATTTCTTAACTGTAGATTTTACTTTTTTTACCTACACTTGTTTTGGTTTTTATTATTCTTATTTTTCTTCTTGTTGTTTTTGTATTTTTCCCTTCTGCTTTTTATGTTTATGTTGTTGTTGTTGCTGCTGTTGTATATTTTTGTTTTAATAATTAATTATTTATAACCAATTTAAATACATTCGCATATAGACACACATTTACAATACAAACATAAATAAATAAAAATAAATAATTTTTTTTATTTTGTAGATGCTTCAAGATTTTTTGTTTTCATAAATTTTTGCATCATTTCAAGTATACATATGGGTATGTACGAGGTTAGTTTGAAAATTTTACACAAATATACATTTTCTTAATTTTTTTAAAGCAATATAAATAAAACTTAAAATGCTTGATTGCCTTAAAGAAAAAATTCATTGTATCTCACAAAAATTGTATGCGCTAGTTATAGTAGACTAAAAACGTGTCTACTGACTTAGTCATAGATCAGTATTATATGCAATAATCTATTGACGAGTTCATTTATGGACTAGTCGATTGACTATTATATGGACTAGTTTATATAATAGTCTATTGGCAAGCCTAGGGACCAGTCTGTTGACTACTTATTTAACTAAATATACTATGACATAGACTATTCTAAGAATTAATCTTCTATAGATAAATCTATCAACTAACATATAGACTACTTATGAAAGTTTGTAATATAAGCAGTATTTTTCAATGTATAAAAGTAGGATAGTAATGAATTTTCCAGGCCTACTGGATCCATTCTTTGAAGTGTTTAATTAATTAGAGTGATTAAAAGAAATGTGGTAACTTGTTACTTAGATCATCAGATCTCACAATGTCTTTCTCTCTTTAATCAGGTTGCAAATTCTTCGAAATCTCAATTTCGATCAATATCGACTACTGCAATAAGGATTCAGATTAGAAAGGATATTAAGGATTTAATTTTCATATACTATAGCCCATTTTTATTCAGATTTTTAGCACACAAAGTTTTTTACAAAACTATCCAACCTTTGAATGTTCTTATTTGTCACTGATCAGTTAATTTAACGTTAAAGCGAAAGCATCCATATGCTCGCTTACTGCTTCCATGTAAAGGACAATAGCAAATTCACAGCGAAGTCCTCGACTTTATTATTAAACACGAGTAAGATTTAGGTTATCACCAAATTGGCTTCGTAGTCAGTGGACTTTCATAATTCCCTGATAGAATGGCATATTTTCGGTATTATTACATCAATGGAAAAAGGTCAAAGCTCAACAAACTTCTGCAATAAAATCTCAGTGATATAACAAAATGTTCTACAGAATATCCTTCTGCAATCTGCATTTAAGAGTTACAGACATAATTTATACTTTCTTTTTTAATTTGCAAAATTACTGCAATGTCGCCGTTATTAACAACTTCAGGACATCGTCTACAAGGCAATTTGCGTTTTTCACAATTTGAGTTTTTCCGCTAAGGCATTTAAGAGGTTATGCAGAGTTTTTAACTCCTCGCCAGTGAATATGTTAGAAATTGCTAAAACCCCGTTAGATTCGCAAATGGTAGCAACTTTTTGGATTATATTTTATTTTCTCCAATAACTCCTAGAATATAGCTCCTGTACAGGGAAGTTAGCAGTTATGTTTTACTGCTTTAAATAAAGTAGAATCAAAGTTTTAAAATGGTAGTTACAGAAGCTTTTGGTATGAGCAGTTTCTTTACATTCAGCGGTTTCAAGCCGGAAAATATTCCATAGAGTTCACAAATAATATCATGATGGCTTTTACAAGGAATCAACATCTGGATATTAATTTATCGGATACTCTTCGAGGTTATTTGGTAAAATAGGATGCATCAAGTGTCCAACAACTTTTGAACCAGAAACTTTGTTTTGTTATTCATCGCTTTTCATCAACAGCTATAGGTATTATAGCGGTTGTTATATCTAATATTGTTTATATCGAACATAAGGCATTAAACCTCAGCTATTCCCAAAGCATTCTTGTTTATTGTAATAAAATCCTAATGAAAAGAATGGGTTACATTATCTGTCGCTGTTCAATGATTCCGCAAGAGAAGGGTGTTGAAGCTTTATGGTGTTGATTAACATGGTTGCATTTAGAGTTCATGCTTTTTTGTCGTCTTAAGCCTCATATTTGAGTTAATCATGGTAGAGACCAACATTCGTCATTGGCAATCTTGCAACAAAATATTGTAAATAAGTATTCTTTTTATAATTTTCTCAAACTGCCCTCGTAGTATACTTTGTTATTGTTATTTATATTTTATTATTGTTATTATGATTATTATTATTATTATTTTTATTGTATTGTTGTATTTATTTCTTATTCTATTCTTTGCACAATTCAATTTATTACTAACTAGAGTATAGAGAGTAGAGTAGCGGCTGAGCTCAATTTACTAAATATTTTTAATGGTACATATTTATTGTTATTGTTATTGGTGTTGTTGTTATTTTTAATAAATTTATTATTTAGGTTGTTTTGTATGTGTGTTGTATGTTCGTCATGCAATTTTTATACGTCTCACTTGAACACAACACGTTTTCATGTATGCATTTTTTTATTATTGTCTGTTTGACTGTCTGTCTGTCCGTCCATACTATCTGTCTATCTACTCGTCTGGCTTTGCCTTTCTTTCTGTCCATAACACAGTCGACTAGTATTTCTGTTTATCGTAAGTTTACTTTTATTTTTCTTGTAGTTGTTGTTGCAGTAGTATTTTTTAAATATTTATTTCATTTTATGATAATTGTAAGGTGGTCGTGGTGCTTGTCTATTGGGACAACTCTTAATATGTGTGAATTTTATGTGAAATACTTATTATTTTTTTAAGCTTTAAGCATCAGTCGAATCATCTGATTTGAAAATTCATTTTCTTATTAATCTGTAGTTATTTTGTCAACTGCCTTTGCTGATTTAACACAAATTAAAAAAGGGATCACTTGAAAAAGCTGTAAAATTCAAAACAAATTTAGCCCTTTTACTCTTTACATTTATTTATAATTTTTTTCTATTAGTTTATTTATTACGATTTGTTTTTATTTTATTTTTGTTTTATTTAGGAACGTATTAAAAACAACACCCGTCTCTCTGTGGGCTTCCGCATCAGCCTATTAGACTTGTCCGTCGCTTATCTATTTGTGTATTTACGCCTATGTTATTTTGTCGCTATTTTTATTATTATTTGTTGTTTTTGTTTTCATCATCGTCGTCGTCGTTGTTGTCGTCGTCGCCGTATTTATTGTTCTCCACCACACACTACTCAAGCAAAAACAAAAACAGAGACTCATACATATTTACATGCCGAAGCACAAAATAAATAATACAAAAAATAAATAGTCTTGCCAATTAATAAATTTGCCATGTAATGCCCAATTAAATAGAGTTGTATTACCCAAAATATCTATTACTTGGCGGTAGGAATAAGGCGGATTGATATATTACATTTAAAGGAGGTGAAAATTTAAAGTTTTCCACCTTTCCACCTGTTCCACGTTACCTTGATAAATCTTCCCTTATCGTGTTGTTGTTGCAATCCCGGGGTCCTCAAGTCTGCCTTTATAAACTCGCGGTCAGACCAAAGAATCAAATCGGTGTTCGTTTTCGACTTTTCCTAGTTCCCGTTATTCGGTATGCATGTGATGGTTGTGTTTGAACCCAAATCCCGTTAAGAGAATGTTGGTTTAAAGACTAATGCATGGTCAATATTTCTTTAAAATTTCCTAAGAGGTGCCACATACATCTTCAATTAAATGTGTCGAATCAAAGAGTTGTATGCTGGGTTGAATGGTGATGGATGTATGGTATCCTACACAAGTGTTATCAATAAAATTCTCTTTTTATCCGGGTATAAATATATGTACCAGACTTCCAAAGTATTCTCTTTGATTAAGAACTTGTCTTTGGCTTATTTGATGAATTCTTAATTCGGTCTATCGATTACGGTGCACTTGCCGAATCAGCAGATGCTATTCCATCTGTGTGGTTGTAAACAGAAGCATTTCGAAGCTTACACAATAGGGCAGCTATATAATCAAAGATTAGATAGCTCAAGTACTTGAACAAAGTGCTTATTCATTCAAAAATTGCCACTTGAGTATTCCTTAGAGATCACAAGCGGGAGGTGGTGTGTCATCTCTACATAGCTCACCCTGTTGTTGAAAAAGTACCACCGTGAAATACTGTTTCTAAAAATTTTACTGTATTAACAATGAAGTATTCTATGAAAGTTCACTCGACCGATGTTTGGTGTCAAACTTCGAGGCATTTCGTAAATAATCAGCCAACACAATTCACAACAGCTTTGGATTAGCCTGCTGACTTTTTAAAGTAGACATTCCCGGTGTTAAAATAGGGAAATTCAAAACAATTTTTTTTCGTAAACAATCAACTAGCGCAGAATACCGAAATTTCTTTTGTAAATAGTAAGCCACCAACTGGCAATGGAACTCCAAGATTATTGTTCATGTATCGAAATTCAAGACAATGGTTTTTAATATTGCAAACATTAAAACTATCACTTTTCGGGACTCCGAATTTTCAACAAACAACTCCAAACATATTGTTCCTGCAAAAACAAGTTAGCAGGTGTTGATTCCTCTCCAGAAAAGCTTTTCCTTTTATTCTTATTACTTTTTATTTAGTTACGGAACTTTATCCTATTTTAATTTAAACATCCAAATGAAACTGTTAAATTCGAACATTATACAATTGCAGTTCTTACGAGGCATATTTGGGAGGACCATTTAAAGTAGTGTAGGCTTCAATCATTTCGATACTGGGGAAGTAAGGTACAATAAGATGGCGTATTTAAATATATAGTACTCCCATATGTATTTATGTAAATATGACAATTTCTATGAATAGCTGATAAACTCCTAGGATTTTATAAAACAGTATTAAGAGCGTGGCATCCCTCTTTGGTACTCTAACCCCAAAAAAGCTAAGAAAAAAAACTAAGAACTCACGACACCGAGACAACTAGACTTGCCAGTTGTCTTATAAATAAGAAGGAAACAAAATAAAAACGAATATAAATTTTCATATAACAACAGAAAATTCCCAAAATAACGAAAAATATTTGTAAACTGTCAAGCCTGATATTAAACGACCGAGAACCAAATACCCACCGACAAACATACATATCGAAAAAGAAATAAAAATACAAGAAGATGAAGAAAAAAAAAAGAATAAAACAAAACAATCTATGTATGGTGATGTTAAAAACATACACAAACACACAGCGAGCACTGAAGAAAAACAATCACCAACAACATACAAACACACGACACGAGTTGTGATACAAACGGGGAGTAACAAAACAACACTCTATTTTTTCATGTTGTTGTTTTCATTTATTTCTTTTTCTTTTTTCAATTTCATTTCAATAGTGTTTTGGAATTTTACTTGTTTTGAACAATTTTTCCCATTTGTGTTTACACTAGCGCTAAATAGAGGAGTTTATGAGAGAACACCAGAGACACGACATGTAAAAGCCGCTCTCTTCTTATTTTTATGTTGTGTTGATACAAAATAAGCGCAAAGTTACCAGATTGCTGGTATAGTTTAATGATATAAAGGATATGTAGTTAATATTTTAGTGTCGAGTATTGGGTCATGCTTTAAGATTGGTTGACTAACCTAATAGTTCAATAACACTTAAATTGGGTCTTCGATATAAAGCAATCATCAATGCGGAAAAGAACTTATCGGTTATTATTTTCTCTTGAAATTTATAATATAGACTCTGGATTATCAAAATGTAGCAGCCTAATTGCTTCCAAAAAAAACTTGTACACAATTCTATCGTTTGTTTTCCAATAAGATGTGTTCAATGCAAACGATTGTGTGGTAAATTTCTTATGTAATTCCTTTCCATGGTGCATCATTAGTCAATCGTGGCATTTTTGCATCTAAATATATTCTTTAGATCATTCTGTATGATACAACTTGCCAACCTTATTCTTCACAAGAGATAAACTCAAGTGTGTTCTCAAGCTTTTTGAAATTCCTCGGTACAATTTCTGAGTCTTCGTATCATTTCACAGGTTCCCAATTTGTTTTGTGGTTAGGGTATCTCAAACACATCAATCCTGTTCGTTAGCAAGCAATTACTACTGTTATTTAGGTGTTTTTTTAATTTTCTGGAACCACAAATTTTAAAAGTGTAAATGGTGATTGAAATAAAATTATCCTTTTAAGTCATGGGTTATTTTGATGCAAACTTTTTTTATTCGAAATAATAATTCTGTATCATATCTGCGAGCGCTAATATGAGTAGCTTTACGGCTTCTCAGTTTAGGCTTTACATTCAACGATGAGCACTACAAAGCCATGATTAGGGGCCTTTTATGGGCTGGAATTAGAAAATTTTCATCAATATGTCCCATAGCTCCTCAAACAACCAATCTTTTTGACATTAAATTACTGAAAGACAGCTGGGATTTGGACACTTTTGACATTTGCATGTGGGATGCTGGCAAAAATCGATGATATACAAATATTCCAGATCTCTCTTAAGGATAATATCGTCCAAGCCTTTCGTAAGATACAAACACAATCATTAACAAAGTCTTGAGAACTTTGAAGGAAGTGATAACTACATCATGGCAGCCACATAAAATACTAAAAATTTTAATATTTTTTCACATTTTTGTTTTTGAATAAGCATTTGATCCATTCGTACATTCTCTTTGTGTAAAGAACTAAGTCTATGCTCATTAAATGCCTCTCGCAACATAAACATTTCTTTTAAATTTTTTACTTTCCTGGTGATAGTAAAGTAGTAGCTTATTTATAAAGATCTTTTTAAGGGATCTAACTTTACGAGTTGTTGCAAGTAGTATTAATACTTTTTCCAATAGAATTTCAACGTCAGCTTCAGAGCACTAGCCATTTTATGCAGACTTTAACAATATTTTCTATACACTTTGCATGATTCGTTTTTCCAAAATGTTGTCATACTTTACGGTTGTAGATATGATATTTTGGTCAAGATAATAAAGTCCAATGACCGAAAAATTAAAAAATTCAAGTATCTCCAGTTTTTAAAATGTGTTTTCTTCATTTTATCTGATTTCGTAGTATTAAAAACTTCAAAATCATACAATTATTATAGCAATGTTCCACTTTGAATTTACCAAAAATATACGACTTTTAGTAGGAATTGAAAATTCTCCAGGTATAGGTCAGGCATGGAAAATTCAGTATTTTTATGTATATAGCCTCCGGTAGGTTAGTGTTCTAGTCTGGAGATCGTGGTCTGAATTCTCTTATGAGGCACTGGTAAAGGTCAGGCATGGAATTTTCAGTACTTTTATGTAGGTTAGTGTTCTAGTCTGGGGATCGTGGATTTGATTTCCATCTGAGGAGCGCACAAAAAGCCCGTTAGAAGCCTAGGTGTATTTCTTCGGATTTGATGTATATCCTACGAACTACAGTCATTTCTATAGTCTGCTCTATAGTCTACTCTATAGTCTAGTTTATAGTCTAGTCTGCAGTCAAATCTAAGAAGCTAACATCGCAGAGCATTAATTCGGGTCCAGCACTGCTTAGACAACTTTTTTTTGTTTTATTTTTGACAACGAATGGTTTACGAACTTTTGAAACTTGTTATCATTTCCACAATGTGTATTCCAACTTCAATTTTGCAGAATTTTTAATAAAAATTTATGATTTTTTTGTACGCGAAAATCATGTGGCATCTCTGACAAACTAAATGACAGACAGTGATGATGTTGATGGGCTAGAGAGAGAGGAGCATGAGTGTGAGGGAAAGAGACGTTGTGATTCTCTATACACATGTACAACAAAAACAGCAACAAGAACAACAACACTAATAATATGGCATAATTTGCTGCGTAGTATTTTGTAGTTTTATTTCTTAGTTACATATTTATTTTTTTTTTCTTTAAATTTGTTGTTGTTATTGCTGTTGTTGCTTTAAGGAATTTTTAGCAAAATATCTTTGAAATACACTACAAAATGAAAAAAAGAGATATATTTCTATTAATTTAAACAAAAACCAAATGTAACAATGTAATTTAAAATGTTGCTATTATCATTATAAAGTACATAAGATGTTGTAGTAGTAACTAACTATTATTAGTTTTAGTTTAATTGTTATTCTTTTAATTAAATGAATTTCATCATGATAATTCATTATTACAACTTGTAGGTATTTTTTTTTTGTTTTTATATTTAATGTATCACTGTTCATTCACTCTATTATTGTCGTTATTCTTATTATTAAACTAATATGACGTTTAATTAACTAATTAATCACTTGATATACACACATACATATTTGTATACATTTATTTTGCTATTTTTATTTATTTTTTTATAATTTCTTCGCCTTTTGTTTTAATTTAATATATTATTTGAATGCGTAGAAAAATAACAAATACAATTCTTTTTTTGGGTTCAACATTTTTTGTTGTTTTTGTAGGTGACTATAGAAAAACTATCACTTCGTTTAGGTGTCTGGTCATAAAATGAGAAGAGCATTGAGGAATTAAAGTAGAAAAAAATAACAAAAATAAAAACAAAATTTAATAATAAAACCATATATTTAAAAATAACTCAATTGATTAAATCACTTTTTTTCTTATTTTTTTTTAGATTTTCACTTTATTCACATTTTTTTTTATTGTTGGGGAATTTCTCACATTTTTCTAAACCCACCAAGTTTATTTGAAAATAATCAAATTTGCATTTATTTTTTTTAATAATTTTTGTTTTTTTTTGTTGTTATTGTTAAGGGTATTTATTTTATTATTATTATTACAAACAAATAGCTATTTATTATTTATTTCCGGTTAATACAAAATAACAATTTGTAGTTAGAATTGCATATGAACGCAAAAATAACTCACTACTAAACTCTACTCTAGTTAGTAGACTGGCCTTCTAAAAAAAACAGAAAACAGAAAAACACAGAAAAAAAGTATTTGCTGCTCTTCTAAATGTTTGGTATTCTTCTTCGTAAACACCCAAATTTTACCGTTTTTCTCTCTCATTTCGTTTAATTTTTATTATTTTCTGCTTTTAACGAGAGCACATTCACTCACTCACTTACGTTCGCATATTTAGACTTCGCTGTATTTGTCGGGTACACACATCTTGGCATGCATTTCTTTTCGGTCTTTTTAAATTTTCTGCTTGTTTTGTTTTTATTACGCACTTCACATTAGCAGCGACGACGACGTTAACAGTGACGTTGTTTTTCTTTAAGAAAAAACACACAACTTACGCACGCACACACACGCTTACACACCCGCTTAAACGACAACACCGTGTGTCCGTCCGTCCGTACGTTCAACTATCACACGACAGTCGTAAATAAAAATCATTCACTTTCCGTTTCGTATGCGATGCTCTTTTTTTTTTTTTCTTATTTTTTGTTTTTATTAGTATTTTTATTATATTTTATTATTTTTTATTTTGTTGTTACAAAAATGTTCACTCAATTTGTTTTTATATTACTTTCTTTTTAATTTTGTTTTTGTTAATGATTAAAATTTAATATTATTTTCATTTCTTTTTAATAAACTCTTAAATGCACTTTGCCAACGTTTTTTTTTTTAAGAAAAGGTTGTCGTTGTTATTGTACTAATAAACAAAATTTATTATACAAAAATATATATACACAGAGATATTTCTTTTTTTTGTATTTTATTATATTTATTTATACAAATTTTTTTATTTCAATTGTATCCGGCGACACAACGTAGAAATAGTCAACATGTGTTTACTAACGCGCTACAGAACGTATACTAAAAGTAGATAGGACAGAGCGAGTGAGAGAGTGAGTGAGTGAGTTACTTTAATTTAATATCGTATTCGATTCTTCTTTCATTCTGTTTTTTGTTTTGCTTCTTTTGGCAAAACAAAAATAGTGCTGCCAAACTGTTGTGAAAACATGTGATAAATACTGGGGAAATGTTATGATATATGGGTGATGAAAAAGGGAATCGTTACAAGTGGTCAGGAAAAAAAGGAAAAAAAAATTGTAAAATAAACTTATTTATTTCAATTGAAAATTTTGGACGATCTTGTCATGCCGTTCCGTCTGCCACTCTGCTTATCAGCCTTAATGTCTGTTGAAAACACATCTACCTCTCCTAAACGGGGGGGTGGTAGAAATTTTTCAGCAATATTTCTTATTGATGAGTTAGCTTGGTATTGAAAATTGGCAAAATCGACCCACATTTGACCCTAGCTCCCATTTAAGGTCTCCCTTCAGATAATTTGGGATCCAATATATTTTTTACCAAATTCAATGAGGATCACTTCGTTGTTGACCCTGCCCGCCATAAAAGGTCCCTTACAGAAAGAGTCTAAAGCTTATAACTAGCTTTAGACCCATTATTACTACTTGCTAATAACTAAAGTTAGGATTTTATAATGCCGATAATTTGTTTCCCGTTATTATATGTATACGGAATGATAAGTTGGCGGAAAGGTCTCTTTATGCTTTGTCGATATCCTTTAACTTAAGTTCAATTATTACAATTAGAAACAATTATAAAATCCTACCTTTAGTTATTGCCAAGTTGTAATAATGGGCCTTAAAATAATAGAACAGCAACGATGTTAGACGCACACAAGTTTTATAGGAATAAAAATCGGATCGGCCTATAATCTCCATATAATGACCCATACAGAAAATGACTTTAACGCTCAAAACTGGCTTAAAAATGAGAGTATATCAATAAAAACAAATTTTATGAGAATTAAATGATCTCTGTCAATTTTATGAGAATAGGTCCATATTGGAAATACTTTTACGCTCATAACTGACTTAAAAAACGTGTAAAGCGATGAAATTCGACATAAACAAGTTTTATAGGAACCAAAATCTTTCTACAAATTTAATGAAGATCGGTCCATAATAAACCCTAACCCCCTTATAACACCTCTTACATACATATGCATCTATAATCAGGAAATTTTCCATAAATGCTGGAATTGAGATAAAAATTCGTCAAAAACTGATTTATTATTAGAAACTAAATGTTCTATCGAATTCTGAATAGATCGGCGTGTAATTGACCCAAGTCCCTATAATAAATTCTTTTCTGAAAAATAACTCTAATGTTCATATTAATATCAAGAGGTATTACAACAAGATTTTTATAATGATATAATATATAACACCTTTGCTTGTTAAGACTAACTTTATTCATGTGGAGATGGACGAAATTCACTTACAGGTCTTAACCGGGATATTCTTAGAAAGAAGTTGGACCTTTAGCGAGAACAGGAGCATATGACTAGCAGCAACAGTGTGTCAAAGGACGTCACGTTAATTGCTCTTTCTTTGGCAATTTAATTTCACGGAATGTTCTCATATCCTGGAAATCATATCATTTCGACAAAGTTAGCACACGTGAAAGTTCTTGGAAGTTTCGATAATATTGTAATATTATCCGTTATTTATAAATGTACTTCATTATCGATACACTGCATTATCCTATTTTAGGCTTGTATTTTGTACTTTTAATAATAGTAACTTTTTTCGGAAGTGTGGCAACATATTAATGTTTAACTGACAATTACTTTGTTTTTCTTTCGTTTTCTATTCTTTCAACAGTTTGCTTGCAATGTTTTGTTTGCATTAAACTATTTCAACTACTGAATAACAGAGGGCGCGGCCGGAAACTTAATAAGAATGCTGAAGTGGCAGTTAATTTGAAAAAGAGCAAAAAATAATCCAATCAAGATACAATGACCATACGATTTTTTAAGACAATAATCAAAGTCATAACGATTTGTCTGTATAACGCTAAAATGAAGAAAATAGCAAAAATCTGCTATCACTCATATTTTTATATGAAAAACCTAAAAACATCAGTAGATCCTTAAATTAGGCTACAATCCATAAAAAATAGGTTTTTTTTGGCAAAACATAAAATCAGCTGTAGATCCTTAAATAAAGCTCAAACTTTTCTAGTTAAGAAAACAGCAAAAATCATATCATATTTTCCCTGAATAATCAATCGGTTGTAGAGCCTTAAATAACGTTCAAATCAAGAAAATAGTCTAAATCTGTGAAAACTCTTATTTTCCTTAACTAAAACGTTTTTTGAACATAATTGCAGGATTAAGGAGAAATCGATTGGTATCGGTGGTGTCAATCTATCATCAGTATTATGAATATTTAATTTGAAACTAAAATAATATTTACCTCTTTTAGGAACGACTTTTTTTTATCTTCTTAATTAATTTATTAGTTTTTTACATAAAATTTATATTTCCAACTTTATTTTATCTTAAAAAACTACAACTCCATTGTTTAAATAACTTCAAACAATGTTAGTTTTTTTTATAATGCGTAGGACTGGAAAAAAACGATAAGAAAAAAATAACATCCGCTTTGAATAACGGAAACGGAAATTCTACTTTATTAACACCTTGTTTGCATTTTAAAGTCTCAAATAGGAAAAAAAATGGTTTAACTAGTTTTTTTTTCATACAACTATGCCTAACAGGGGGAGTCTCTATGGCTTGAAGAAAAATTTATTCATTTATTTACTTCCTCTATTATTATTATAATTATAGCTAATGTTATTGTTATTGCTAATAGTTGTCGTTGTCGTTCTTGTGGTTGTTGTAATAGTTGGCGTTTAAAAGGTAAACGATTGGTGCATGAATGAATAAACACAAATATTCACTCATAAAAGTAATATTGTAAGTAAAGTACATGCTTACCTACATACATACATACTTACATACATGTGTAAGTAAGTAATTATTTGTATGTAATGTAAAATTGTGTGTATAACTAATGACAAAAGAATTATAACAATTTTGTTCTCTCATCACGTAAACATGCATATTTTCTTAAAAATAATTAATTTTCCTATAGTGTGACCTGCTCATAAATCTCCACTTAAATGAACACACAATAAAATACAAAAGTGAAAGAGTATCATACAGTTTAGAGGGAAAGGGGGACAGTTGCTAAAATGGTTGGTCATTAAGTGTGAGAGGGTCGAGGTGGGTTAGGGCAGCGACTAGGAATTGTGTTACTTTGTAACTCCTTCAACAGATTTCTTACATACATATGTAAATATGTACAAACAAACAAATGAAAATACTTTTGCATGCATAAAATATACGGAATATACTTAAATAAATGAATATTCTCGCTAACTTAAATACAAACATAGACATACCCACACTTACATACCTATGTACATTTATTTATGAACATACATAAACTCACAGCCATACATACATATTTAAAGACAACGACTACGATGACAACGTTTACATGGAAAAAGAGTAAGAAGCACTAGAAGACGTCAACAAAAAGCATGATAATAGAACCTAATATTAATTAGCTATGAAAATTGTTCAAGGTATATTCTGATAATATTATAGCTGAATACATACATACATACATAGTTACACGTATTACTTACATAGTTATAGTTATAGAGGTATATTTTGATTCATATACAATTAGTTACATTTACAGCTATACATAGATACAATATTGCCGGCATGCATTTGTAGAACATTTAATTATACATAAGGTAGGTTTTGTAAAGGATTTTAAAGCATAAAGAAATATTAAAACTTTCACTAATGAAAGGGAGGAAATGGTTAAATGTAATATTTAAAGCAGTGTAAATTGAAGATCGAAGACTTTTAATAATATTAAAATTTAGCAGCCTAAAACTATGCAACCCAATAAAGTAGATAATCAACTAAAAATATAAATTATAAATGTGTGATCTTTCATATATACATAGTTAGTTAGTGAGTTAGTTAGTTAGTTAGTTAGTTAGTTAGTTAGTTAGTTAGTTAGTTAGTTAGTTAGTTAGTTAGTTAGTTAGTTAGTTAGTTAGTTAGTTAGTTAGTTAGTTAGTTAGTTAGTTAGTTAGTTAGTTAGTTAGTTAGTTAGTTAGTTAGTTAGTTAGTTAGTTAGTTAGTTAGTTAGTTAGTTAGTTAGTTAGTTAGTTAGTTAGTTAGTTAGTTAGTTAGTTAGTTAGTTAGTTAGTTAGTTAGTTAGTTAGTTAGTTAGTTAGTTAGTTAGTTAGTTAGTTAGTTAGTTAGTTAGTTAGTTAGTTAGTTAGTTAGTTAGTTAGTTAGTTAGTTAGTTAGTTAGTTAGTTAGTTAGTTAGTTAGTTAGTTAGTAGTTAGTTAGTTAGTTAGTTAGTTAGTTAGTTAGTTAGTTAGTTTGAAAGGAGGATGTATATACATCAAATCCGAAGAAATAGACCTAGGCCTCTATCGGGCGTGTTGTGCACTCCTTAACCAGTGCCTCAGGTGGGAATCGAACCCACCACCTCCGGTCTACCAGACTAGAACACTAACCACTAACCTACCGGAGGCCATACATAGTATTCTATAAAATTTTTTCAAAACCTGCGATCACTTATAGTTGTCCTAAAAAACATAAAATGGCCTGTAAATCCTTAAATAACGCTGCAATCAAGAATATAAAGAAAATCTGTGATATTTAAAATCAGCTTTAGAAACTTAAATATCG